GTGGACACACGCCGCACGACAGCCGGCAGCTCTGCAGCATGTACGCCGGGTTGTTCTTGCAGTGGCCATCTCGCGCCCACACCGGGCACTGCAGGCCTACGTGGCCAATACACCGACATCAGGGCGGGAGGACGGCACTGTGCAGTGTCTCCAGAGCACCGCGTGAAGACGAGGGGCCACGAGTGCAGTGAGTACAGCGAATTCGAGCGGAATACGCGGCCGAATACAGCGGAATACGTGTCCTCTCGAGCGCTGGTTGGGAGACAAGAGCACGTCTTCGGCTTCTAGGACTGCGGGCTCGTATCCACGCATGGCGTGGGTGGCGGAGACGGCGTCGGGGGCGCCGCCCGCCGCCCGCCCGCCGCCGCGTCGCTCCCGCCAAACCAGCAGAGCGCATACCTGTGGTGTGTCGAGGGGGGCGTCGAGGGGGGCGTCGAGGGGTGTGGGATCTCGAGCGGCCGGGGGGGGGGGAGGGGGTGTGGGGGGGTGGGGTGGGTGGGGGGGGGGTTCGAGGCGAGAGAGCCGTCTGAGGTCTGTCGGCGCTAAGCCACGATCACGGGGCGGCGGATCCTCCTTCGGCGACGAGTTCCTCACGTGCAAGCCGAGGGCTATAAGGCGCGTACGTTGCGAGGAAGAGCTCGAGCACGCGCATCGCCCGCTTGCCGCGCAAGACTAGGGCGGCGAGGTAGGTGGCGCAGGCGCCGCCCGCCAGCAGGTGCATCGGCCGGAAGACCGGCTCTGCAAACGTGTCCTCGCACCCCCAGTCCCAGTCCCCCGCGTCCCACAGGTGCACCGCCATCTCGCGCGCGGGTCGCAGCGCGTCGGCGTCGCCCTCGCCGCACTGGACCTTGCGAGCCATGAGGACGAGCGAGAGGGCCGCGAGCAGCAGCAACGAGGCCAGATCCGCGCAGCCCGTGAACATAGGCACCGCCACGCGGCCGCACGAGGACCCACACGAATAAGCGGTCCTCTCCCAGCCCCCGGCATCCGGCCCTGCTGTCAGCTGCTCAGCCCGAGCCTCGGCGGCTCCGCAGGGAGCCTCGGCGGTGAATGAGGCCGTCGCCGCCGCGATTCCCTCCTCAAACTGCTGCCTCACCGTCGGCGACTCCCCCTCCTCAGCCGCGAAAAGAGCGTCCGTCCACGGGGACGAGCGGTCTCCGGTAGAAAGGCGCGTTCCACCGTTGAACGAATCCCTCGAAAAGCGCGATCGGCTCGCCATTTTGGGGAGACTGAGTCTAAAGCGGCGCCGTCACGAAAGAGAATTTCACGCGGGATCTTCTACCACACAAACACAACCCCGGACCTTCCGTCCACGCATCGCTCACTGTCACGACACTAGAGAAGAGACACTCTCTCTCGACACTAGGCACGGGACTGGCGCGCACAGGCACTAGCACAGGAGCACAGAGCGCAGCGACAGGACGGCGGCGACGGCGGACATGGCAGAGACGAGTGTGAAACAAAGGGCGGCGGGGATGGACGGCGATCGACCAGCTGCTCGACGAGGAGGGCCACGTGAACAGCTTGGCGCGGGTGCCTGTGTACACAACAGCTGCTCACACACTCGCCTGCTGCCGCTGAGCTGTAGGCCAGAAGGCGGCTCGGGTGCCGCTCGAGCCGCAGTCGAGGATGATGCCCCAGCGGTCGGAATGGGCGGCGTCCGGGTCTGCTGTCACGGCCAGCACGATGAGGCTTGCGAGCATCGGCGGCAGTACTGTTCCGAAGAATCGAGCAGAGACGCGGTCTGGACACAGCCTGTGGCTGCCCCCGGCCTTTCGGCGACCGTTTGTGTTATATTGCAATACGACCAATTCGTTTCATTGAGCACTTGCGCACTTTAATAACTTATACGGCTCTCTCTCACAGCAGACTGGCACGTGCTGGTACTTATTGGGGACCAGTGAGTGTTGTGCGAGCGAGCGAGGGAATCCCCCCGCCCGAGGAGTTTTGTTCGAGAGTTTTGTTGGTTGGAGAGAGATTTCATTCTCTTGCTTGGTTGGCTCGGCTGGGTGTGCACATGCACATGTGCATGTGCACATGCACATGCACATGCACATGCACATGCACATGCACAAGATGTGCGCACAAGATGTTAACGGAGTCTGTGCGTGCTTTTCGCTTAGTGAACCACAACACAAAGAATTTTAATACGAAAACTCCCTCGCACGACACTGGGCACGGGACTGGCGCGCACTGGCACTAACACAACAAACTCGATCACGGCGAGCGGCAGGTTCAGTTCACTCCGTCTTCAGTCTTGCAATTTCGTCCTTTTGCCGCTCTATGAAGGCAGTAAATGTTTTGTGATCCTCTTCTGCCACCTCCAAGTCTTCAATGGCACGCTCGAGCTGCGCGTGAAGTGCCGCTTTGTCTCGACTAGCCTCAGACAAGGCAGCCTGTAGACACTCGACCTCCTCCATATTCTTCTCATTGCTTCGGATGAGGTCGTCAATCATCGAAGCGTGCATCGCTTCCATCGCCTGCAGTTTGCCTTCATGTTCTGCATTCAGCTTATCCCGGATAGCCTGCACAGCCAATTCAACGTCATTCGCATGCTCATCATCAGCCATCTGTTTAATCTCTGGCGCGGTGTTAGAAGTCAGAGCTTTTGCTGAGGCAGCTTCTGGTGAGGCGGCTGGATCAACACGTGCGAGGAGTGAAGACTCGGCAGCTGGCAAGGAGACAGAGAAACAGCTGCCAGCTGCCGAGTCTGAGGCCTCGCCGTGAGCTTTCTTCATACGCTTCGTGGCGATTCGTTTCTGTGCCGCCTCGTTATTCAGCCTGCACTGCTTGCGCCTGACACCTGTGTCCTGGCCTTCGCTCGGCTGCGGTTCGTGAGTGAATCGTACCCTCTCTGCCCATTCTCGCCCGTCCTTGCTACAACGCATGAAAGATAGGACGTGATTTGGGTCATCCCACGTGCGTGGGGCCCTGCCAGCCTTGTCGAAATGACCATGATTGATGCCCTCACGAATGGAGTCGCGCACTGCAGAAGATGCATTTCTTTCATCGAAGTATAGTGACGTGCCCTCCGCACTGAGAAAACCAAACCCACGATGTTCCTTGAAGGATATCAATGTGCCTTCGAGCAGCCATTTCTGTATCGGCACGCGCTTCTGCTGCACTTTCTGGTAGGCTGTGAGCCGCGAGCGACACCATTCTGAAGCGAGCTGCGGCGCCATCATACCCACTGCCACCGACCTAGCATCTGAACTCGTAGCCTTCTTGGACGCTGGCACACTCGACTCCTGCTCCCCAAGTCCTGCCGGAGCAACGTTCAGTAGCCGCCCTGCAGAAGCTTGCTGTGATACTGACACCGAGTGAGACGCCAGCGAGGGTGCCAAAGGGAGAGGCATGGACAATGGCGGCGCCGGCAAGCGCGGTGGCGGCAACAGGAGCGGTAAGCACGGCGGCGGCAGCAGGAGCGGCAAGCGCGGTGGCGGCAGCAGGTGCGGTAAGCACGGTGGCGGCACCGCCGCAGGAGCGGTAAGCACGGTGGCAGCAGGAGCGGCGCCACCGCCGCCTCTGCTAAATGATGAGCACAAGCCAGAAAGTGCTGCTGCCGCCGGCGTCCATGCCTGCGTCGTGGGCGTCAGCGGCTGAGCCGTGTGAAACGGCTGTGCCTGCGTCGTGGGCGTCAGCGGCTGAGCCGTGTGAAACGGCTGTGCCTGCGTCGTGGGCGTCAGCGGCTGAGCCGTGTGAAACGGCTGTGCCTGTGTCGTGGGCGTCAGCGGCTGAGCCGTACGAAACGGCTGAGCCGTGGAAGCAAGCGATGGCAACGCTTCCCCGGCTGGCGGCGCCCGCTGCCAGCCGCGAAATCTGAGGTCGCCCCGCCCGCCTCCACCCCCGCGACGGCCCCGCAGCGGCCGGGCCGGCTGCCTTGGTGGGCGGGACACTTCCCGCTGCCGCGTCGCGGCCGCGGACGCGCTCGGAAGCATATGTGTACGTACACATGTATATGCCTGAATCGCTGAAAATCATATGAATAACGTGTACACACAGTCGAACACAGGGAGGAGAGGAGTGTGGTGCTAGCCGTCGCCCACCCTAACCCTTGGTCGTCTGCCTCTTTCTATCTCCCTTCGCAGTCCTCGCCGATTCTCGCTGCAAACTTCATGCCACCTCGCGGTAAAGAAGAAAGAAAACAGACACGCAAGGGAGGGATGGGTCGCGGTATCTTCCCGGCGCATGGGGTTGAATTTCTTTGATCAAATCGAAGTTCGTGTTTGAGGCCCCCGCGCGTGGAATGGACAACCTCCGCTTGCCTGCTGCTGCCCGCCCAATGCACGCCAGCGACGAAGCGGTCGCAGCCACCCTGCACCGCATGCAGCGACGCGCCTCTGTCTGGAGGGAGTGCCTCCCTCGATTGCCAGCCAACAGCACGCATTGTCACCGCCGGGGTCGGCACCTGCTCCACAATTCGCATGGCGCTGTCCCACGACTGGCCAAGGACCGTCCCCCTCACCCCGAGAGCCCGCTCTACGACGAGGTTCTCTTCTGCCCGCGCCGCCGTGTGGCTTTCATCCACATCTTCAAGTCTGCGGGCACGACGATTGTCCACGCCCTGAAATCCATGTGCAGGAATTGGGTGCTGGTGTGCCCGTGGCACTTGTATTGCCGTCAAACCCTGGACGCTGCCCACGGCACGGTTGGCGAGTATGCCTACTTCACCTTTGTCCGCGACCCAGTTGCACGCTTCACCAGCGGCGTCCTTGAAGCGGCGCTGCGGAAGAACCTCAAAGTGATTCAAGCCGGCGTGCCGGCAGGGGCTGCTGCAAACGCGGCAGAAAACGTAGATGCAATCGCCCTGCTAAAAATCTCTCTCAAAAATCTCTCTCTGAATCGCAAGCGTTGAGGAACGGCGAACGGCGAGAAGACGTCGCGTTTCGCGTTTCAGGCACTTCCTCACCGCGATTGGTACCACCCTCCCAAGTAAGACATAAAACGAAACTCCCATACGGGACTGGGGGGGGGCGCACAGGCAGTTAGGTTAGGTTAGCGGTAGAAAGGTGAAGAACAGCCAGGCTCGGACTGGACACCAACGCGGTATGGGTGGACGCTAGACAGATGATGACGACACGCACGAGCGACACGAGAAGGCTTCCGAGAATCGGATAGCCCACGGCACCATGCCCCGCTTCCTTTCACCGAGGTGGTGGACAGGTGGGGATGGGTGGGTGGGCATTTTAAGAAGGCTCTCTGGATGCTGTGATGAAATTCGATGAAATGAAGTAGCTAGCTAGATGCTAGTGCAGATGGGGTCCCGTACCATGCGGAATCGACCCTATCCAGTGCTCAAGTGCTCAAGTGCAGATAGCTCTATTGTAGAAGACCGAGTCATACCGTACCATGCGGAATCGACCCTATCCAGTGCTCAAGTGCTCAAGACCGAGTCATAAAAGAAGGGAACCAAACACCCAGCAGATGATCCTAGATGATACCGCCCCGGCTGGTTGCCAAACACTCTGCCGACTGCTCTTCTGCGCCCTTCGCGATGTTCCCCTTTGGTCGCGAGCGTGAGAACATCAACGCGTCGACGGGTCTGCCGTATTTCGATGACAGCGTCGTTGGGTGCAAGATCACCGGCTTCACTTCTAACGATGGATCCCACGACATTATCAAGCTCGTCGATTCGCGCGACGACATCAAGCATGAGATCTGGGCTGGCGAGCCGAACGCGGATGGCGCTGGCTTCTTCAACTTGAAGAGTGTCACCGCCGCAACCATCGTCGGCCAGAGCATCAAATCCGTCGGCCTCGCGCTCTTCCGAGCGTCCGGTGAGCTGTTCATCCAGCCGCACCTCGACCCTGCGCCAGCGCACCTTTTCCGCGGGCCATCCGCCGCCAAATCGGGCGAGCGCATGGGCGTCGCGTTCGTGCTGAGCGGTGGCGGCACCGTCTTTCCGACGCGCGACCGGGCGGGACAAGAGCCCATCGGCTGCATGCTGATGTGCGAGGATGGCGAGGACGTCACCGACGTGGACTGGCCAGCGCACACATTCAAGTCGGTGGGCGCGCTCGCGGACGAGCGTGACATCAAGCGGCGCCAGGACGCCGCCGACCTTGCGGCGCGCAAGTGCGCCTGCGGCAACTTTAAGACCCCAGGACACGTCGACGGGCTGTGCAACGCGTGCCGCAGCAAGGCGGCGCCCAGCCCGTCGACGAGCGCGGCCTCCAAGCGCAAACGCGCCGAGCCGGAAAACCCTTTCGACAACGTCAACGTGTGCCCGCACTGCTCAAAGGACCTCTCGGCGCTCGGGCCGCTGCGCACCGAGCGCCACATCACGCGATGCGATCAGGCCTGACCGCCTGACAGGGCAAGTTCCATGGCGTTGTGGACCTCAAGCAAGACAACCAGCCGCTTGGATATGGTGTGTGTTTGTGGCAAGCTCGCAATACGCAAAGAGCAAAGTGCCGTGCGCGCGCCGAACATTTTTCGTTTGCGGTTTGGGTGGCGCCCCGCGGCGCGGGACGCGTGAAATCGACCACCGCGCCGTCACACGCTGAATATACGAGCCGAGGTTCGCCGAGAAGCGCGCTCCACTCGTGCGGTGCGGTTCGTACAGACTCCCGGACTGAGCCATACACGGCTACAGTACCTGTACAGTACTCAGTAGCCACACACGGACACGGTAAAAGTACCAGTACGGTAGTCGGTGGTACCGTACAGCTATCACTCACAACGAAGTCACGAATTATGTCCTGGGGAGTCCGTGCATGGAGCAAAGTCCAAAGAAAATCAAGGCCTTCAGTCGTTCGTACGTACGTAGGGGAAAGGAGTGAGTGTGTGTGGTCCTAGCTAGCGCTTTGCTTCAGTTCGCGAGAACGCACGTCAGGCACTTGGAGCACTTGGAGTGCAGTCATTAGCCTCACATCCAGGGCCGGGGGGCTAAGAATCACACCCAGCGAGCCAGATGATCGGGATCGGGCGCTTTTCTCATCTGTGTGCGTTCATGAGCGCTCCAAGAAAGCACACAGAGACAAGCGCCTGATAATAAATACATAAATAGAGCAGTCATCTCCAGGAGAGATGGGCGACGCACGAACACAGAGGCACAGTCACTCTGGGCACAGTGCGCACCCCGCCCCGCTCGCAGGGCGTGCATCACACAGGTGGACTGTGTGACTCCTCGGGGTTTCTGGGGACACTTGAGGTGTGCTAGTCGCTACAGTCGGACGGTTCCGGCATGTCTCATGGGCAGTTCGGGCTCGAGTGAGGGCCGCGGTCGCGGTCGCGGCCAGCGCGCGGGGCCTGGCTAGGGCTGCCGGGCGTGATACTCGACCCACGCGCCGGAGCGCGAGTAGTGCTTGATCAGCCCGGGCGGACCGGTCGCCGATCGGCAGCTCGCGCCTGATTGATGTGCGTTCACGCAGTTCTGTTGTAACTCATTTTGAAATTCTGCGTTTGTTTATTTGTGGTTGGTGGCCTCGCCTTTCTTTCTTTCTCGTGTAACATGTACCTGTGTTAGTGCCAGTGCGCGCCAGTCCCGTGCCCAGTGTTGTGTGAGTTGTTCTGGAATTCTTTTCTCTCTAGTCCCGTGCCTATGTTGGCGAGCAAAAAGAAAGAAAACAGACAATTTAAGGGAGGGATGGGAGGACGGCACGCCGCCACCTCACAGGGATGTGTTGCTGTTAAACAAACTTTAGTTTGTGCTAGTGAACTGGAGGAGGAGCTGGTCTGGCCTCGGTGTAGGAGGCAGCGCCTAGCGGGCGCGAACCCGTACCCCGCCCGCGCCCGCCGCTGCGGCCCGCCGCTTTGTGCGCGGGACCTCCGAGCGACGAGGCTCATGACACAGCTCCCGACTAGCGTCGGCCTCCTGCTCAGCCTGTCAGTTCTCGAGCGAAGGCTTCGGATCGCTGGTCGAGCGACCCGGGGGATGGCCCGCGCGCCTGACCCAGGCGCGAAAACGAATCTGCGAGGCGTGGCCGCTCATGCGGCCCGATGGGGAGGGGTGGGGCGGACTACGGGGATCGGCTTCTTACACAGCCCTTCCCTGCAGCGAGCCCCCCTCCAACCCACCCGCGCTAGGTCTCGGGCGGCGAAGGGGTCACTCCCGACGACCTCGGGAACTAGCCGGGGCAGACGGGCAGTCGGAGAAGGGGCAACTCCGTGCACTGACGGTCGGCCGCCAGAAAACACGCCTGCGTGGATCGCGTCACACCAATCCTCGCTACCCAACGCGGCCAAAGGATATCCACCTCGAGCACCTCGAGTCTCTTCCCAGGAGTAGCTGTGAACAGCGCCATAGGATGTATTTTCTTCTCAATAACAAGGCTGTGAAGTGGCTGCGGCGGATAGCGTCGGCCCCCCGGGCCCCTTTGTCGTGCGGTTTGAGAAGGCGCCGCAGATGCCAGGCGAAAGCTTCCAAACCACCCGCGAGGCGGTGGCCCAGGCCTCTCGCTGGCAGGAGACGGTTGAGCGCGCGCGGGCGGCGCGTGAGGCGCGCGCTCAGGCTGCTGCAGCTGCGGCAAAGGTGGAGGCTGACCAGCGCGATGCGAACGCGGCCGAAGTGGTGCAGTGCGGTGCGCGGCGGTGGCTGGAGTCGATTCGAAGCAGGACGTCGCAGCGCGCCGCGTGGGTGTGCCCAGATCATCCGCCACCGGCCGGCCAGCAGCTCGCGCTCGCCGCGTGGCTCCTCCGCTTCTATGAGCCGCGCCACGACGGCGGCCGCCTCTCGCAGCTGTGCAGGCTGATCCTCGCGGGCCTGGAGGAGGGCGCCGAGGCGGAGCGGGCCTTCTGTGCGGCCGCGCTCAGCCGCCCGCTCACGCGCCACTGGGTCGCCGTGCTCCACCGGCTGCTGCTCGCGTGCGCCAGACAGCTGACGCCGGTCGGCGGCGCGCTTCCCGCCGCGGGCGAGGGCGAGGGCAAGGGCGGGGAGGTGGTGAGTGGCGTGCTCGGCCCGCCGCTGCGACTGCTGCTCGCGCTGGCGGAGCCCGAGCTGTGGCCCTTCACCCGCAAGCTCTCCGCCGCGCGCGGAGGCAGCCCCGCCGCCCGAGCCCTTTGCCTCATGACCTCCGCCACGATGTCAGCGGCGGGCGGCGCCGTCACCTCCGCCTGCGGCGCACTCGTCGCGTCGCTGCCGCTCTCGCTCGACCGGCCTCTTCTGGGCGCCGCCACCACCGTCGCCCTGCTTGCCGCGGGAATACGCGCCGGCGACTGCGGCGCCGCAGCCACTGAGGCCTCCGCCACTGCCACCGCCGCCTCCGCCGCCGCCGCGCCGCCGCCGCCGCCGTCGCTGGAGTGCGTGCGCAGCTTCGCCCTCGGCGTGCTCTCGCTGCCGGCTCTGTGCGAGCCGTCCGCCGCGCTGCTGCCGCCCGCAGTGCTCGAGACCCTGCGGCGCGGCGACGCGGTCTGGAGCGCATGCTCGCTGCACGGCGCAGCAACTGCTTGTCCGCTCGCGGCGGACCGAATCTGGGCGCGTGGCCTGACACCGTGGCCCCTGACCTTAGGCGCCGCGCTCTCCCGCTCGCTCGCCGCCGACCTCGCCGCCGCCGGTCCCGCGCGCGCCGCGGACGCCGCTCTCGCCATCGCGCGCGGCCCTAGAAGCGAAACACGCGTTCATGTCTCCCATCCAGGACTCGAGAGGACACGTACTCCGCTGTAGACACTGTACTCTCCCCTCCGTTGTACTCACGCGGTGCTCTGAATGCGCTGCCACAAGACCGTCCCCCCCTCCCCCCTCTCACGTTGGTGCATTCACCGCGCAGGCGGGGAACCTCCTCTCGCTCGCGCCGCACAAGCCTCCCGACAGCCAGCCCCACCCGACCGGCATCCTCCGCCTGCTCACGGCCCTGCTCGAGGCGCCGCGGCGGTGCGGCGCCGGCCAGGCTGCCGCCTCCGCCTCCGGGCGCACCTCGGGCGGCGGCGGCGGCGGCGGCGGCGGCGGCGGCGGCGGCGGTGGCGGCGGCGGCGGCGCGCGCGGCGGCGCGCGCAGCGGCGCGCGCGGAGCGAGCGTGTACCACCCTCTGCTCGGCTGGAGCGGCTCGAGCCCGGAGGCTGCGATGACGCGGTGCGTCGATGCGGTGCGGAGGCAGCTGCAGAGCTTGTGGGCGGCCCGCTCGCTGCGGCTCGCCTTCGGCGTCCTCGCCGCGCCGCTCGCCGACCGGCCAGCGGCGCGGGGCGTGCACGGCCTCGCCACGTCGCGCCTCGCCGCCACGCGCGACGACGCGGCAGCAGCGCGGAGAGGGAGCTCGCAGCGCGGGGGGAGAGGCGGGGGGAGAGGCGGGGGGGTGTCGCCCCGTAGGCGGCGGCGGCGGAGACGCACCTCGCCGCGCTCGCCGCCCTCGAGCCGCTCGCCGCTGCGGGCCGCGCGTCGCTCGCGTATGGGACGCAGCTGATGGCCTGCCTGTGGGCGCTGCTGGCGCGGCTCGCCGAGGCGAACGGCGGCGAGGCGTGGCTTGTCGGCGCGTGCCTCGCGGCGGGGAGTGGCGAGGCGGCGCTGCTGCGGCTGCTCCTCGAGGGAGGTGCCCACCTGCTCCCCGTGCTTGAGGAGCGCGAGCTGCACGAGGCGCGGCACCCCTTCTCGCCGCCGCAGCTCGACCGGCTCGCTTGCTTCGTCAACCGCGTCGCCTTCGAGTTGCTCTGGCGCGAGCCGAGCCTGCAGCGGGCACACCCCGCCCTCGGCCCCGCCGCGACCAAGCTGCTCGCCCTCCTCGTCGAGCGCGACGCGCGCCGCCCTTTCCGCGCCACCCCGTCCGGCAGGTCGGCCTGGCTGCTGCCCGTCGAGGTCCTGCGAACGGCGTCTCTTCACGGCTGTAGCCGTGAGCAGGTCGGCCTGGCTGCTGCCCGTCGAGGTCGGCGTGCTCGAGTGGGAGTTCTTCGGTGAGTCCGTTTGCAGCGCGGCGAGCGGGAGAAGTGTGCAGCCGTGTCCTCACGCCACCCCCCCCCCACCCACCCGGGGGAAGGAAGCGCCAACCGGGAGACGCCCGACCACCCCGGCCGCGTTTGTGGGGTGGGGGAGCCCCCCCCCCCCCCCCTCCCCCCCCCCCCCCTCCTCTCTCCCCGTTCTCGCCGCCTCCTCGCCCCCGCTCTCGTGCCACCAACCTTCCCCCCTCGCGGCGCGGCGCGGCTTGACGCGGGGCGGAGTGTGGTGGTGCAGGTGCTCGAGCGGCTCCCGTGGGCGATCCCGTTCGACGCGCGGGTGCGCCTCTTCCGCTTGCTCGTCCAGGACACGTCCGAGGCACGTCGGAGACACGTCGGAGACACGTCGGAGACACGTCCACAGGTGCGCCTCTTCCGCGCGCTCGTCCAGCGCGAGCAGCAGGGCTTGCCGGGCGAGGCGCTGCCCGAGCACTTGCGTGGCCACCGCGTGCAGATCCGGAGAGAGCACTTGCTGGAGGACGGGTACGTCCAGCTGGGCGCGCTGCCGCGAGAGAAGCTCAAGGGGACGATCCGCGTCGAGTTTGTGTCCGAGCTCGGCCTGGCGGAGGCGGGCATCGACCGCACCGGCGTCTGCAAGGAGCCCCTCGAGGACGCGGCTGGTTCCGCGTCCGAGGTCCGCTGATCAAGCCTCCTTAGGCGTCTTCAAGGAGTTTCTCGAGGACGCGATGCGCGCCGCCATCGACCCACAGCGCGGCCTCTTCGCCCGGACGGCGCAGCGGAGGATCTACCCGTCGCCGAGCTCGGGCGTCGCCGAGTCGGCGCACGAGCCTAGAAGGGGAAGACGGAGTCAGAAGGCGGGGTCTTGCGTCCCAACCCGCGCTCGAGAGGGCACGTATTCAACCGTCTTCGGCCGTATGTGGCTGTATTCGCTGTATTTGTGTCGCTCGTGTTCACGCGGTGCTCTGAAGACTCGGCACACACCCGTCTTCCCGCCCTGATGTCGGTGTGTTCGTCACGTAGGCGCACGAGCGGCTCTTCGAGTTTGCGGGCAGGCTGCTCGGCAAGGCTCAGCTGGCGGACTTTTCCCAGACATGTCCAAGACACGTCCCCGACATGTCCCGCAGGCTGCTCGGCAAGGCGGTCTATGAGGGCATCGTGCTCGACGCGGCGCTCGCCGACTTCTTCGCTGCAAAGCTGCTCGGCAAGCCGGGATCGATCGACGACCTCGCGTCGCTCGACCCGGAGCTCTTCCAGTCGCTGCAGCTCGTCAAGAGTTACGACGGCGACGTCGAGGGCGACCTCTGCCTCTGCTTCACCGTCGACGAGGACGTCTTCGGCGTGCGCACCGCGGTCGACCTGCGCGAGGGCGGCAGCACGATGCCAGTCACGCGCGAGAACCGGATCGAGTGAGACTCGAGATCCGCCCGAGATGTGATCCCTCGGGTAGTCTGCGACTCGCCCGCGCCGTCCCGGCCCCACCGCCCCCGCGCCCCGCCCGCCCCACCGCCCGCCGCCCCCGGCAGGTACGTCCACCTGATGGCCGACTACCGCCTCAACCGGCAGATCGAGGCGCAGAGCCGCGCCTTCGTCGCGGGCGTCCACTCGGTGGTACCCCTCTCGTGGCTGCGCCTCTTCACCACGCCCGAGCTGCAGCGGCTCATCAACGGAGACGACGCGCCGATCGACGTCAACGACCTGCGCCGGCACACGCGGTACGCGGGCGGCTACAACGAGCTCACCCCGACGGTGCGCGACCTGTGGAGGGTGGTGGCCGACTTTTCGCACGAGGACCGCGCGCTGCTGCTCAAGTTTGTCACGTCGTGCTCCAAGCCGCCGCTGCTCGGCTTCAAGTACCTGCAGCCGCCCTTTACGGTGCAGTGCGTCTCGGGCGATGGGGGCGAGACGCCGTCCGTGCTCGCCTTCTTCGGGATGGGCAGGAACGAGACGCAGAGGCTGCCGACCGCGAGCACCTGCTTCAACCTGCTCAAGCTGCCAAACTTCAAGTCGAGGGCGGTGCTGCGCGAGCGGCTCCTCTACGCCATCCGGTCCGCCTCGGGCTTTGAGCTTTCGTGAGATGTTGTCAACTATTTTGGTTTTTGTGTGATGCCATGTGTACGTGTACGAGGCTTCTTCCTCTCAGAAAACACGCGGACGGCTTCTGGCTAGTGGTAGTGCCATTTCACACTCTGACAGTGACACGCTTTCTTGAAAACGTCTCCAACCTAGAGCCGTACGGAGCTCCGTCGGTTGCTTCCAGCGCCCTCCCCCGCGCTCCCTGCGGCCATGGCCGATGCTCCTAGTAAGAGAGGCCATCTGGCTACCGCGAGAGCGACCCAACTTGTCGACATCGTCCGATGATGGTGCCGCAAAGTCAGCCTTCGGAGGCTATCGTCGCGTCGAGCCGGCAGTAGCCGTGACATGTTGTGGTTCCACCACCCCTCGTAGGCTTTGCCTCTGACCGCCACCATTCCCAGGCTGCCTAATGGGATGGAAAGGAAGGCTCGGCGAGCGTATAGAAGCGTTCTCGACCTCGTCGTGGCAACCTGCAAGGCAGCGCTGGCGGGCGCGATGAACGTCGTGCCACTTGACCGGAGACGGGTCGCAGGCGTCGTACCGAGCGCGTCGATACCGCGGAGCAAGAGCAAATCAACTCAACCGTTCGAATGCTGACGCCGCAAGTCGTTGCCGCCGGTTGCCAAGGTGCGCCTGGATTGCTCAGCAGCACAAGCATCCACGGAGCCAGCGAGCGCCGAGCGACATTGAATTGACTGAGCCGGACCGGGACATGTCGGCGGGCAAAATTGTAAAATGGTTCCGATAGCCGAGGTAGCTCCGGCGGACGTGAGAGCACGGCCTGACGATCAAGCACGAGAGCGACGAACGGAGGCGCAGATAACTGGCGATGAACTCACTGCTGATACCTGCTGGAGCTGCGGAAGATGCAGTAGTACTGCCGCAGACAGAGCACCGTGCGCGGAGCGCGCCGCTGGAAAGCACGCGCGGAGCGCGCCGCTGGGTAGGCGCGGAGCGCTGCCACTTGAGATTGGGCCTGTGGGTGGGCCGAGTGGTTCCTGCGTGTGAGTCAAACTCTTAATAGAAATCGCATCTAGCCCTCCACAACCCTCAAAATTTTCTTCGGGGCGCGCTCCGCGCGCGGCGCTCCGCGCCTCACTCCTTGAGCGTCATAGGCGCTGGCCCGCACATGTTCTGCAGCTTGGGCGGAGGACCAGTGCAGAGTAGCCGCGCGGTCTTAGGTGGTGGTTGTGGCATGCGGACGAGATCGCAGATGCGTACACCGGGATGCGGCGTGCTCAAGAGCCTCCTTCCTATCCTCCCCCACCTTCACCCTCCGATCGTCACCCCTGTGGGAAAAAGAAGCAAAACTGGAGGTGCTTTTGTCTCGCCTGTTCCCCTGTGGCGGCTGCCCGCCCAGTTTGGTGAGGTGAATAAAAAGAAAAATCTCGCTTCGAATCCAGGGCGAGCGGATTCGATTATCACAAAAAACGAAATACATGTACGGCGGGCCTCGGCCATGAGTCGAGCGCAGCCGACAGCCATGGCAAGCGTCGTGCTTCTCGTCTCACTGCCCTACGTCCTGGCTGCTCGGTGTGGCGTGGACAGCTGCACCGACGCCGTCCTCGCAACGCTCGCCCAAGATTTGACCGCCAACTACAAGGGCTTCTCATCGTGCGAGTCTCGCATCAACTGGGTGAAGAGCAACACCGGCCGGAATGAGGAAAAGTCGTGCGAAAAGGTGGCAGAGGAATTTCCAGAAGAGTGCGGCGCCTGCCACCCCTTCCAATCGCCGCCTCTGCCGCAAACCTCGCCGCCACCGTCGCCGCCGCCACCACCATCACCACCGCCGCCGCCGTCACCACCACCGCCGCCGTCACCACCACCGCCGCCGTCACCACCACCGCCGCCGTCACCGCCGCCGCCGCCGTCACCACCGCCGCCGCCGTCGCCGCAGTCCCCGTGCCTCTCGTGCGAGCCCTTGTGCGACTGGTCGACGCACGACTACAAGCTCGTGGGCACCGAGATGTCGTGCGTAGCGCGCGACCCGATGGGCGGTGAGTCGAGCGGTATGTCCTCAATGAGCATGGGCTGTGGCAACATGTCGTGCGCATCGACCCTCGCTTTCCTCCACGAGAACATGGTGATGCACCACGGAATGGCGATCGAGTTTACATGCGATGTTGAGGTGGATTTCGTTCGCGGCATGATCCCGCACCACGCAGGCGCAGTCAAGATGTGCGACATCCTGCGTGGCTCGGTGAGCGTGGAGACGGACTCCGACGGCTCTGGCATGGGAATGATGCACTCGTCCGGGAGAATGCTAATGCCGGCCGCGATCGACCCCTTCCTCGAGGGCCTCTGCTCTGACATTGTGGAGACGCAGGCGCGTGAGATTGCGGAGATGGAGGCATGGCTCGCGAGCCGCAGCCTGGGCGCGTACACGTCCTGTGGCGACGGCCACGGCGGCGGCATGGGTGGCCACGACATGGGCAGCGGCGATATGGACATGGGCGGCGATATGCCTGGCCACGACATGGGCGGAGGCAGCATGGGCGGCGACATGCCTGGCCACGACATGGGCAGCGGCGATATGGACATGGGCGGCGACATGCCTGGCCACGACATGGGCGGAGGCAGCATGGGCGGCGACATGCCTGGCCACGACATGGGCAGCGGCGATATGGACATGGGCGGCGACATGCCTGGCCACGACATGGGCGGAGGCAGCATGGGCGGCGAAATGCCTGGCCACGGCATGTGACGCACGGACGAAGCACGGTCAGAAGGAGCGGCAGAGAGAAAAGTACGACCCCGAGCCGCGGTCTCCACTGCCCTGCCATTTAGTTTTACCCTCCGATCCGGGCGGGTGTCGGTCGCAGTCCGTCGGCCGTCTTGCCATGTGTGCGTGCTAGCCCCACGTCTGGAGTGTGATGCAGTCCCAGCCTTGCCTGGAGAGAGTGTGCTGGCGCGCGTGCGGTCGGCAGAGCGCTGCGCCCTGTCGCTCTGTCGAGCACGCTCTCTCGTGCTTCGTTGTGACCCACCCTGTCCCCTCCCACCCGTGTGTGTGATCAGTGTCTACGGAGAGGGAGAGGGAGTGTCTTTGGCTCGCGCCAGGGAGGCCGGGAGGGCGCTCGTTGCTCCTCCGTCTTTTGTATCATTAATTATTACAAAAGAAGCCGCCCACGGTCACACCTCCATCGGCTGGGCGGCGCTGCGCCTGCTGCGTCATCTTCGGCGGGCCGGTCTGGGGCGGCCTTGCTGTGGCCCTTGGTGGCGTGGGGTAGACGCCGGTGCCTGCGGTGGCGAGGAGCACGCCCAGCATGTTGAGCAGCGTGAGCTCGTCGTGTAGGACGAGCACTGCGCCGACCGATGGTGAGCAGCTCTCTGGCCGAGGCAATAGGTAGATAGGTAGGGCGTTTTGGCGCGACTCAGTGGGTACAGACCCCCTATCTGGCTAGGAGCCGGAACCCAGCACGAGCTAAAGATAAGGCGCGCGACTTCTTTTTTTGGCTTCGGGAGGATGTTTGTCTTGTGAGCCTGTTTGGTCTCCGCTCGTGCGTGTCGTCATCATCTGTCCAAGCGTCCACCCATACCGCGTTGGTGTCCAGTCCGAGCCTGGCTGTTCGTCACCTTCCTACCTAACCTAAAGGGAGGAGAGTTTTTCCGGCAACCAGAGGGAAACCAGAGGGTCCCCAGCACTTTTTGGTGCTCCATTCTGGCAACTCTCGAGTTTCCCTGAGTCTGAGAGCTGGTCTGGGGGTGGGGCAAAATCTGAGGCGAACCGAGGGGAAATCGGCAAAAACCCGGTTATTTTATTGCCGCTTTGGCTGATGGGCCCAAACCGCCTGCTTGATTTCTTTTTTGGTCACTGTCGATGTGGGACAGGTGTGAACGTCCGGCGCTACTATTGTCACAAACCGTGAACAACTCACACAACTCTCAATTAGGAGCAGCAGGGACCCGAGGGACCATGTGGAAGACGGCTAGTCCCCCATCGGGAGGACGACCCCGGCTATTCGCCGACCACAACCCACAAAGAGCAAACCAAGCCAAACCTCGTCCGTTCGTGCGAGCTTCGGGCAGGGTTTCGTCAACTCGCGAGTCTCGGCCGGGACCCCAATTTTTACCAAAAAGTTTTGGGGCCGGCCAAAATTTCCAAGTTCCGGCAAATTTGGGAAACTGACGAAACTTCCGGGAACCGTTACAGATCTTGCGGGTCCGCTCGGA